CCTTTAAAGTTGTCCAAATTAAGTTCTTAGCAATGCACATTACTAATCAAAAATTAAGTTTTGATATATTTACGGTAGGAAATTTACAAAATATCTTCATGGAACATGATCTTTACATAATATCCTAATGATTTTTGGCATAAAAGTAAAATCTATGATTTTGACCCATACTATGTATTGTTGCTACAAATATACCCCAGCGACTTAAGACTGCTTTTGTGGTCCAGGGTCACATATAGTGTGTGCTGTGGCTTTACTAACTTTTTTTTTTTTTTTTGCCATATTTTTTTTTTTCGTTTTATAACAACAAACAAACAACATGACCCGCCACCCACCAACCCCCCACCAAAAAAAAGCCAGACGAATTTATAAATGACAAAAATGCCTAAATAAAATATAGATATATAGATCACGCAAGGACTGGGACAAAAATCACCACAGAAATCATAGCCATAACAGATAAATACTATAAATAGTATAATAATCTTTAAGTTCAACTATTCTGTAAATATTGGAGGAAGGGACCCCAGATCTTGGAAAAATTAAGAGACTTCGTTAAGCCGAATTATTTCAAGATTTAAAATGGAGACCATCTCCACAAGCCATTTCTGAAAACATGGGGGAGCAGTGGCTTTCCAATCCCTTAATATAATTCTCTTGGCCACAACCATGCCCAACATTAATGCCAACTGCAAATGATAAGGCAAAGAGGAAACTGTGTCAGAATAGCCAAGAACGGCCAATTCTACTAACTTTTCAAAGCACAGCTTTTTGCATGTTTAGGATGAGGTTTTATGATGATTAAAAGCAGAATTGGAATGTTTTCTGTGGTTTATATTGAGTTGTTGTTTTTTCGGATACCTGGCATGACGGGCAGCGTGTCCCTCTGTTTGCTGGGATGGGCTGTAGGGTGCACCAGGTCAATGATGTCATGATCTACAGGGCTGGGATGTCGAGCGTAAGAGTCCGGACGCTCGCCTGCAGATATTCCCGTCCTCTCATCGTCCTCCTCCAGAGAGCCGATGGTCTCCTCAAAGAACAAAATACACTCCCGCTCCTCCAGACTGAGGAACTGCAGATCATCATCCTAGAGAGAGAGACAAGCGTCAAGTAATGCACACTATGTTTTTTCAAATGTTTTTGAAAGAAGTCTCTTATGCTCACTAAGGCTGCATTTACTTGATCGAAAATGCAGTAAAAATTGTGAAATATTATTGTAATTTAAAATAGATGTTTTCTATGAAAATATATATTAAAATGTAATTTATTGCTGTGAATTTTCAGCATCATTACTCCAGTCTTCAATGTCACATGATCCTTCAGAAATCATTCTAATATATATATATA